TAAATTGTGCCCTGAATGGGAAAACCGAAACTCTGTTGGTTTTGCTATAGAAAATATAAATGTGTTTAAACAGAATTTTTTCCTGATAATTTACAGCATTGTAAGGACTTGTTTGGTGTTGTATACATAAAGCATTTGTTAAAGCATCATTTGTTCTCTAGCGAATAATATTTAATCTGCCATTAAAGGTGGGGTAGGTAAGTTTGAGAAACCGGCTCGAGATAAACTTTTTGTTATATTCCATGGAATGCTCTTAACATCCCGATAGCAATTAATATCTTAAGTGCTTTGACAAAAAATCCATAAAAAAATGTAATCTGTGGAAAAGCACGACCTAGCCCGGCTAAAATAACTGGATGGCCTACCTGCCTGTCAGCCTTCCATCTGTGCACAAACTTATCTCGTGCCCTCATTGGTCATGTGCGCGTTCGTGTGTGTTGGAGGAGGGGCTCTGTGAGGAAGTGGCAGATGTTTTCTGGTCGTGTATTTTCAAATTCTAACGCACTCGAGCCGGTTTCTCCAAAATTACCTACCCCACCAAGCGTCTGTGTTTTCTTGAGTTTGGTCAATATGACTCAAAACCACTTCTCGATTCATACAAATCTTTCAGTCAAATTAGTGTTAGGAAAATCTGTAGGACATTTTGCATATGAATACAAAAGGGAAGTGTAGCTCTATAGGCTTTAAAGCTTTTGGCAACCATCAAGCACAATATTTCAGGCTAGTTATGGGACTCATTTTTCATGATTCGCTTACTCAGTATTTATTCTACTGGAATGAACATTGTTAAGACCCTATACATTTGTTTTTAACAATATTTTTAATTTCCTTGAGCGAATGCCTTGCTGGCAAAATCAGATGATTTAGTGAAATGTTCAGTAAAAATATTTGTTTCATGTATCGATAGGTGTGTGAGTGATACTTAAGTGTACTATATTAAGTTGTGCTAACTTGAACTTCACTCTTTAGAGGAAACCAAGTACATGAATAGGGTTTACTCATTCTCTTTGGGGGCTTACAGTACCAAGAGTCTCATTATTTCACACAGAGCAAAGAAAGAGAATAGATTTCCTCATCTCCAGAGCAAGGCTGGCCTTTTAATGTTAATGAGCCGCCCACTGCTCCACTGCGTAGACCGCGTCTGTGGTCAGCAAGACAAAAAGAGGAGGCCCAAGTGCTGATAACGTCACTCAGAGAATAATACAATACATTTCAGTGGATGCGACTAAACTCTACCTGATTGTCTATGATGGCAACACATGGAGCTACTGCAGCCAGGGCATTACTGCAGTCAACTTTTAATATATGACATATGGATGGTGTTGAGGGGGCTGTTGCTTGGTAATGTGGGATACATCTATTAAGCTTTAACATCTGGAGCTTGGTTGTTTTGTCTGGATTTAAGAAATAAAATGAATCACCATCTACTTTATTAGTTGTGTGGTTATGTGGTCACACTGGCCTTTTACAAACAAAGCAAGAACTGTTTGCACAAGTCATATGTTGACATATATCACATTCCTCATACTGCACTTTGCTGTTTCATGTATTTATGTTCATGTGATGTCACAATTATGATGCTGTGTTTTCTTACTCTTTATTCAGGAACTATGTATGTATGTACCTTATCACTCATGAGATTGCTTCCTTGACAGTTCACTGGTTGAAGAGTCATATGCTCCTGTATGCTGAAAACAAACTTTTACTGTCCTTGGATCCTGTTTTTTTCTATTTTCAATTCTGCATTTAGTCCCGTTGAATTGTGCTCTGGTTTGTTTCCCATCTTGGTGCAATTCATTTGGTTTGATCTGAATCTAGCAATTGTTCTCTCCTTCGACAAAGCGGTCTTAGTCCCGTCACAAACAAACTGGGAAGCGATTCATTTGTGGTGAGAAAGTTTGACATTAGCCATAACCAGGTTTAAAGTATCGGCTACCTTGCAGATGAATTGAGGTCTGACCTTGAGTAGCAACAAGATACACAGCCTTCTGTTGGGAGGATTTAGGCTTTAAGACCTGTTCCTCTAATAAACCTTCTATCGTACCCTTGTGGTAGTTTCATTGTTGAGTTTGGTGTGCTGGAGTTTTTCACAGGAGGAAAACAAAAATAATGGGAAAAGTTTACCCAACCCATTCACTAATTCGGATCAGAGCAGACTAACTATAATTTTACAATAACCCAGATTCTCTCTCTTTTGATTTTTATGCAGTCATTTGGCTGAACCAGGGTTTTACTATCACCCTCATTTTCATGTAAGCAGCTTCACTGGAAAAGTTTAGTGTCTGCTTAGGGACACACTGATTGAAGCTGTTGAAGTGACTGAGAGCATTAAGCTATTCATTTACTTTTCCAATTCGAATTTCCCCATCAGGTCTGTGGATTAAAACCACTGACCTTTTGATGACAAGCTTCAATCTCCAACTTCTCGGCAACTGCCTTTGCAATCCCTCACTAAACCCGAGCTGCCTGAGAACAATATTCAGCAAGATAAAAGTGAACCTGTCCCCCTAGCGTTTTTAATCAAACATGAGGCCACACTGTCACCTTCATCTCCTCTTTATCTCCACTGTGAAAGCACTTTGTCGTGCCTCACAGCCAAAATACTGTTCCCTGAAGTCCAATTTAGCCTGCAGCTGTTACAGTGCTTCTCTTTTTAATAAAAGTATTACATTGTCATCAGTCCTCAGTAATTTGTGGTATCCCCATGTGACATGAACCATCACTTAGCTACACAGAACATATCTCTTTATCAGCTTCAGATTCCCTCTGAGCTTCCTTTGTTATCCACTTACATTTTATTAAACAGTTTTTTAACAGCGCAAACTTTGTAAAATGGATGATATTTAGGATCCTCATTCCTCTGAGTCCTAATTTTTATATATTAGGCTACTTAGTCTAATTGAATGAATTGGCAGAAAGGCGGTGTGCTGATTTAATGTTCTGTCTGCTATCTGAGACATATCTGTACCTCCATGTCTTTATAAGTATGAGGAAGCATGCCTATGCACAGCCGTAAATGGAAATTATCTGATTATGTGCTCTGAGATTTTCACTTGAAGCCAAAATGGCTGACCACTTGCATCAGAGCGCCTCTAGAGCGAAAGGCCAGCACTCAGGCTGCTCGATCGAAGCTGCGAGATACTGTTTCCAATCGATGTTCCATGCTCTGACGCTTGTCCAGGAGAATCCCAGAATCCCATCAGTTACCTGCCCTCTGGATAACGCTTGCTCTCAAAGTCTGCAATTATTTTGGAGGATGCAGCTTGCGGCTTATACAAGACGTTACATCATTGCTAACTTTGGGAAGGGATCCCCAAGTGGACCATCCACTTCTCTGAATCTGCTCCCCCACTTTCTCACCATCATTATGTTCCTGCTCCATTATTTATTGACCATTACACGGTGTGCAACAGTCTACTGTAGCCCTCTGTAATGCTGAAGTAACTCAATAGTGCAGAGTTCACTCCCATTTTCGTGGAAAGGACATGTCAATTGAGTGGTAGTGGTTTTTATGTGAAGTAAAACACTTTTTTTGGGTTCTCTAAACTCCTGTACAGTTCAGACACTCTGCTACAGCTGTTGTTGAGCCAATGTGTTGTTACCTTTCCAAAAATATCTTTGGTTAAAAGAACATCTACTGCAAATAGTGTGGAAAAAATAAAATTCCATCCGTTTATCAATAAATTAAAATAGTACATTGACTGTACATTAAAGGGAATGTGATAAAAGTTCTTTAAGCTACTAATAAAAGCCTATGTCTTAGCGATGACATCTCCAATTGCCTGAATCCAGAGTGAGAATCAAGCCATAACCAATCACTTTAACTTCAGTACCCCCTTAGTTACCTAATAACTCTGGCCACAAAACTGTCAAAACTATTTACCTTTTGATCGTAAGCCAGCTCAGAGTCGTGAATATATTTCTGGGTCACACACCCCGTGAACTTGAGTGTATGTGTGTGATGTCTTGGCATGGACTATTAAACTGTCAGCTACCACCCCAGAGGCGACTTCTTTGCAGGAAGCACAATAGCGATGATTTGACAAGGAGATAAAGGGCTGAGGGAGTCAAATGGGAATTAGCTCCACAGGACTACAGGTAGATGTATTCGAATTGCAGGAACGATTATGAGGCTACATGGGCAATGATGCACGAAATGTGACACCGGATAAGGGATTCTTGGCTTGAAGTTCACAGAATTCTCATTTAATTGCACCTCTTTATTTAAATATTTCCGACAGCAGTCAAAAGATGTTTCCATCCCTTTTTCACAAGAATTACAGAACAGTATTAAGAACTAATGACAGGGGTGGCTAATTATACTGAAGAAAAAAACGAGTATTACAAATATATGCAATACCCCACATTTCTTACTGTAGACATTTTATGATCAACTTATTCTCATCGGATCCGTCTGGGTAGCCTTATTGGGAACAGTCTCATTCACTGGAGCAGAGAAATTCCACTGAAGTGAACCAATTATAACTGAATTAACTTAAAACATTTGAAGAACCTAACTAACCCAAACCTCATAAAGCCCAAGTGGTTGCTCTTAGCATTGAAAGCTTTATTAATATAACACTATTTATTTTCAATTCTGTCATATTTATGTCTCAATATATCCATCTTACATACTAGGATGTCCAATTTCTCTCCCTTCTACAGTGTTTGTATACAAGCTAACAAAGCTAACCTGGCTAGAACTTGGTTTCTGACATGTTGTACTAGTACTGAGTCAAACTTGTGTGTTCTCATTTCCAACTTTGCAGGTAAATAGATCGCAGCATCAGCATCGATTGAATCACAGTCATCTGTTTAAGGCAGCATCTCTTACCACTAATCCGCCCTGACACTCCCAAAATAAATCACAGGACATCGAGGAGACGAAGTTTGGCTATTTTTTATAATGAAAAACCAACTTTCCTGCTAAGTCTTATTAAAAGTCTGCTCTCTGCTGACAGGTGACAGATGTTAGGTGTACTAAGCAGCACTCTGCTTACCTCAACAGCAGCCTTGGCTCGCTCAAACTCCTCCTCCAGGGACTGATGTCTGGACAGGCGGGCGCTGCCCAACCGCTGCTCCTTGGTTAGGCGAGCCTGTCACACACACAGACACACACCTCTCATAATATATACAAATGCACAAACTAAATCCATTAAACATACACGCAATCACATTCACCACATCACAAGGAGAGCGTGAACACATCCGCATAGCAAATCACACACACACACACACACACACACACACACACACACACACACACACACACACACACACACACACACACACACACACACACACACACACACACACACACACACACACACACACACACACAGCCAGAGGGAGAGACAGGCAGGCAGAGTGTGCAGGGTCAGCCGTCTCTGCTTTCCCAGGGACGAGTAAATATCCCTGCCTCAACAAAGCCTCTGACATGCTTAGGAAGGCCAGCAGAATCACTACTGTCAGCATCCCCCCCACCCCTCATCTGAATGCCATGCTACTCATCCAGCCTCTCGCAATTTTGCCACCCACCCTCCCTTTCCCGTGCACCTCCACATGCAATATCTGATGCTGATAGGCTCTCAGTTACAAACTTGCACAGAAAGCCTTGATCAACCGTGAAAAATGAAAGAAGACCAATTTCACGCACATGGTTTGTTTTTTGAAAGTGTGGTGTCATTTACGTGATTCAACATTACTTGCTTGGATGTGATATTGCACACTAGATTGTATGTATTCAAGGGTTACCAAATCCATAACAGAGCCTGAGACATTAATTAATTCTTCCAGAAAAGGCCAGCCAATACCTGTAACAATTCCCATCGTTACAAACTGCAAGATTAATTGAGGTTACTTAATCTCTGTATTAATGGACTCAGAAGAAATTGCAATTTAATGAAGATAACCATATTTCTTATTTACAAGAACAAAAACGCAGTTTAATAATACATCTCACAACTTTGCTGTTTGCTGTGGTGCCCGAAGGACCCTCACTATGCTCTAGTAGAGTTGTTGAAGGAAAAATCCACCCAAAGATTTTAACTCTATTTACGAAACCCTTGTTGACTATTTGATTGCTTTTCTGGTTGTATTTATTTATTCAGTCGTGGTAATATACACAAAATAAATCATAATGATACCAGTTGTTTGTCAGGATCTGGTACTAGTTTTTCAGAAACAAAGAGGGATTCTTTACAGACTTTTAATTTTCACTTAAACACAGGGAATTATTCAATGTAGAAGTGGCAATAACACCAATTACAGTAGTTTCAACAACACAATTCAATTGACCAGAGAGGAAGCAGCCGGATGTTGTTTTGAGTCAAAGTTCTTAGTAATTGGTGCTCATTCTGTTAATTAACTTGCTAATTTAGAGTAGCTACATTCATTGGTTGGAAGCGCTGTTTCAGGCTGTTCTGTTTATTTTTTTAGCCGACTCACCCTAAAACCAATCTTCCAGTAAAAAGGGTCTTTAAATATGCTTGATGGCTACATCAACACAGGACATCCTGCTAAAAATGTTAGTCTAAAGCTGTATGTAAGTATTACGCATCTTTTTAATTTAGAACAAATCAATAATGCTATTGTCAAACATGGACATGAACGGTTAACATCCCTAAATTCAATAAAGAGAAGGACAGAGCTGCTAATGTTACCATAACTTTAAAAGCATCCAGGATTGACTTCCGATTTTTTTTCTGCAACCTTTAATGATGTGCTTCACATACCTGGTCCTAGTGAGGGGTTTGGACAAAAGTATATAGTATAAAGTTCAGTTTCCACCAGATCTGTGTTTGAATGAAGACTAATGGCACATTTCCACTGCAGCGGGGTAGCCCCGTTTAAGCGTCCCTAAGCGTCCTCGCTCTGGCCTCGGGCTGCCTCGCTGGCCGTCCGAGGCCGTGGCGCATTTCCATTACAGTTTAGGACCTGGGGTAGCAACGCAGTGTAGGCGGGGCGATCAGCTTCTTTTTTTTCACATTTGGAGTTGTTCCGTCGAGCTCCCGCTGGATTGTATCATCCCCAATGAGATGTAGGAACGTCGTCACCTCCTCGGTCGACCACGGTGTGCTTTTCTTTGACGTTGCCATTTTTTGTAGCTCCTCCGTTTACAAAAATGCTGTGTATAAAAATGCTGCAAGCTTGCTTCTAGATATATATGCGACGCTAGGGATGATCTCGCGCGCGATCTTGTGACGATTCTCTCTGACCAATCAGCAGTCGAGAGTGTTGATGTCACTAGTTCAGCCCTGGCCTGATAGAACCACGATTTTATGGGGCCGGAAAAAGTACCCGCTAGCCGGTGCTACGCTATATGGAAAGGCCACCAAAAACTGGCCTGGCCGCTTGAGGACGATTAAGGACGCTTAAACGGGGCTACCCGCTGCAGTGGAAATGCGCCATAAGACGAGGTTGAAGAACTAGCTTGTTGTTGAGCCTTGAATTTGGGTTATTTTGTCATGTCACATAAAGATTTTGACATCAACTTAAAATACAGTCACTCCTGTAATTAACTGTGTGCCTTAAACTGACCATATATAACAGTGTGGGATTATTTGCGGTTGGATTCTTCATTAATGCAAAATTCACACCGTAGACTGGCAAAGTTAGGAATGCAGCCATTTTGATTCTGCAGCGAAGTGCAGCAAGACTCAGATTTAAGGATAGTTTTTATTTTGATCGGAAAGTGCAGCAGAAAAAGTATTCGCAACCAATCGTTAAACAGATTCTCATGACTCCGGTGACTCCGCTTGAAACACGTGAACATGCCTCTTGTAAGCAGAACATTATAATTAGTGCTCCCCAGTGTGAATTTGGCATAACTTTTTTGGACCTTCTCCTTTTTCTTTGGGTGTACTGCATGTACATCTCATGCAACACACGTCTCCCATGCATTTTCAGTTGGTGTTTATATGATACCTCCTATAGTATATGTAAGAAACTAAAGCCACTGTTTACAGTATCTCTTTCAGGCATTATGTAACTCCTGGGCAAAATAAATGTGTGTGTGCCTGTTAGCCAATTACTTCCCCTGAATAGATGATGTATGTTTAGCTGGCTTTGTGAGATCAACACTGATGAGCTCAGAGTGAAGTTGTTGAATAATTCATAGTCTATTAATCTAATAATGGCGTGTGGAAACAAGACCCGTTTTGCAGGCCTACACAGAGACATCAACTCATGTAATAAAGCGCTTGACATTTGGACCTTGTAGCACCACAGAAGAAGAATCTCAAGGCCAACAGTATATCTGGATTTCCTCAAGGTTTGCCATTTGGCTCCAATAATCTCCACTTTTTGGCATTTTAAATCCAATTATTCTGAGAAGTGTGATGCTTCTTTTACCGGTGCAAATGTATAAGTCGTTAAATGTCATATGAAAGGATGCATAGGGAGGCTTACATGTCTTCCACTAATATACTGCCTGTTGAGCTGAAATGGAAGAATTGTAGGTGTTAGGACAGATTGGTGGTTCAACAATTACACAACAGGGTGTCTCCTTAGAAACAGCCTTTTACATTTTAATATTCTTATCATGCATTAATATGCAGTTGCTAAAAGAAAAAGAGATATACATTTTTCCATGAAATTATTATGAAGGTTTAACCATCAGTCGACACAATATGTTGAGACGTGTAAAGCTCACTTCAAAGGGATGTTGATTTCAAGTGTAGACAGCGCACACAATACCGATGATTACTGCCTGCTCCTGTCACACTGAGCACTTACTTGAGATGCTAGAGCAGACTCAGGATCCACTTTGGTGTTTGCGTCCAAGGAGTTCTTGTTCAATGCCTCTAATTGGGTTTTACAGTCTATGGACCTAAAGTAGAGGAGAAACCGTTGGTTTACATGATACACACACATTTAACTAAACTTCATACAACATTTCTTGGTGTGGAAAATACAAAATGTCTTGAAATCATTGCAACATTAACACATTTTGAATTCCTGTACACCCATAAACCATCTTTAAAGGTTTGTTTTATTTCAAGATTTATTTCAAAAGCAACTTTTTTGAAGCATTCCTGCCTCAAATACAAGCAACCCTATTGCTGAGGAAAAACGCTGATATAAGACTATTCTAGAAAAACATTAAAAAAAATCTACAATATCTGCACGTTGGGAACATTTTTCGTTATGGCAAATTTACTTTATTTATTCATGGGAAACATAGGCAGAAACACTTGTTTGACCTGCATTAATAGATTTTTTTTTAGGCCACTTGGGGGCACCACATGTTTCTTTAGCTACTGTATGTTAATACTATGACAGTGCTGATAGACGACCAATTTGATCCATTGTTCCAATAATGTGAACATTAATTGAATTTCCAGGTACAACCAGTCTCCTGTATGAGGGTCTGATGTGCTAAACGTTCATCAACCTCTTTGACCTCAATTAAAATCCTCCTTGCCTGCGCTTCCTGTATTTGAGCAGGATGTACACTGTGAGTCGTGGAAATGTCAAATATGGGCCTGATTCCAATGGATACAGATAGAAAATGTCGCTCATGTCTCAATAATGCGGTTTCATTAATGCCTGCTCAGGACAATACGTACCATAGGAATTCATTGGATGAATTTTTAGAAGAACGCCGCCTTTCCATCTTCCATTTCCTGTTTCCATTTCTCTCAGGGGGAGGATTCAGCTCTTCCCATTTATCCAACGGTGTACACATGGTAACTGGTGACAGCAATAGCATAATTAAAACATGTAAACATCACAAAACTGAAATAAAAAGCCATGCATTCTTTATTCGTTTCACATCAAAAACAACCTCACCTTTGATCAATCGAAACACTCTACATTTCAACTTCAACTCTGAAACAACACTCATCACACTCTTATCTGTACATTTGGACAAAAGCTGATGGCTTTTAGTACAAGACTGTTTTTTCACTTATGCAGTAAACAATCTACCTCATTACAAAAGTTATCTTTTTACTTTCCATCAGTTGAAAAGCCAACATTTTAACACATGGAGTCTTTCTGATAGGACAGCTAAAAACATGGCTGACAATTAGTGCTGTGGGTGTCTAAAAAAACAGCTGCTCACTTTTGTAACATGACATAAAGTTTTCCTTGTAAATGATACCAGGGTAATAATCAATCTCACTGCCATGAATTATTCACCACACTCTAGGAGTCGGTCTGCATAATTGGTTCTCTTTGAAGACTTTAACCTTTTCAACTGGCAAATAAGAAAGTAATTGGCCGTTTCCTCTTTATGTCTTTTGAGATAATCCCTTTCATTACAGTAAATTGGCTTGATCCTGCTTTGGGCTGCCATAAACGCGTGTGAGGTCAGTTCCACAGGGGATGATGGGAGTCGGAGCTGTTCGTGTATAGGGTTGTGGTTCGGAGATGTATGGCTTTTCGAGATAGATGCTGTTGCTTGCAAGATGAATCACAGCTGCTGACTTTGTGAAATTATAGGATTTCCTTTTTTATGTGTATGGTATTTTATAAATATCACATTAGAGAAAATATTAAATATTCATTGAAAATTGTAGACCTAACGGAAACTACTATTAAGTATCTTACTGCGCTTTATGGCTTGAAACACCATATTTACTTTATTATCAATATGTTGAATTAATATAGTACAAAAAGTTATTGTTTGACATTGTTATGCTAGTGCTGATATAAGGTTTTTGAAGTTTTAAAAACATTACTCACTGAGAAACATTTTTCATTTAGCAAAAGAAAACACAAGCAGCTGTTCAAGAACTTTTCATGGATAAAATACAATCTAAAATTGGCAAGAGAACAATCTACTTCTAGTATCAAGTGTCTGTTATTAAGTATTTTTTTCAGTGTGTACCATTGTGTTTCCTTGTAAGATTATTCCATGTATACAGTACCTAGAAACTGATGGTTGGTTTGCATATATTGTCCAAAAGATGAACTAGGCTTTTACCCAAATATTGTGTATTAGAAAAGTTAATACTTGCTGCTATCTACCTGAGTCTAGTGACACTCTCTCTGGGGTCCTCATGATTTCTTCTGTCTGTTCAACTTCCACCTGGATCAGCTCCGTCTCGTCCGTCTCCTTCTTCTTTCTGCGTAGGCTGTTCTTCTGGCTGTTGACCCGGGACGACAGAGGGCTCCTTTTGTCCTTGCTGCTCCTCCTCTCGCCGGGTTCACTGAGATCCAGCAGGTCCAGTGTTGAAGACAGAACTGTGTGGGACAGGACATACTTTAGTTTAGTTTGCTTATTTAGTTCGGTTAGTTGTATTGCTTTATGATTTCTAACATGGATTGTTTTGGAATCTGAGAGATAACATTCAATAGGCTCACATTTTACAGTTGAGGGACATTTAAAACCAAATCATCTAGGACTATTATTATTCCTCTGCAAAGGAGGATATGTTTTCGGTTCGGTTTTGGTTTGTTTGTCTGATTGTCAGCATGATAATGGAAAAATGTGTGGCCTGATTTTCATGAAACTTGTAGAAAGAGTGTTACGTGGAACAAGGAAAGAATGATTACACTTTTTTTAAAACATCCCAATCACAGGACCGAACAGGACAATTATTTTAACCAATGAAAACGACTGAAGGTTTGCTCCCTCCAAATGTACCTTAAGTTTTAAATGTGAAGGGCTGAGTTGTTCAAGTTTAACTACTAATGGCTTTCTGAAGCCGGAAAAAGTTAAATTGCATACAGTTTAACTAGTCAAACATGCTTGTTTCTAATGAAAAATGTGCTATATCACATTATAGCATTTTGGTTCAAATGGATCCTTTTGGGGACTGTTATTGCTAGAACAAAACCCAGATTAAATATCTCATTCCTCTTTCTTTTATCTTGGTATTATTTTCTCACCCCTAAAAATCACCCTTTAAAATCAATTAAAAGTAATATCTCTTTAATTTGTGAATGGTGATCTTCCGTGTCGTTTTTATTCTTAGATATGAAACAGTTCTGCTTTTATTGGGTGGTAATGACAAGATTGTTCACTGTACCGACTAAGTGGTTTTTAACATTTTTCAACCATGCATAATATTTTTGAAACTTTTCTTTCTCTTGGTAATAAGACAGGAATAGCGGTTTCACTTATTCAGCTGCATGAAGCTTTGATTCTGATCTACACATTCCCTGACACGGCGAGTAAGCTGTCAGGGGTACTTAAGCTGTCGCAGCATTGCCCCCTAGGCGGACATGGAAAAAGAATTGGCTGCTGCTCTTTTCAGAGAATCTAAATGTACTTCAGGCCTCTGCACTGACAAGGATAAGGCTGCCCCTCGAGGAGTTCCTGTTTGAACAATTAAGTAATTCAATCGCAGGTTGTTAGAGCGCGAAGAAGGACAGAGCCTTCTGTCAAGGGGCTTAACTTTAGTCTGCCCGTCGTCCAGCGTCACGACTACAGACTGTAACGGTGGTATTATTCTTATCTGATACCCAGGTTTCAATATTAAACTAATGGATGGTTGATTTGAGTAATGATTGTTGTACTTTTAAAATCTCAGGTAATAGCAGAGATGCAGCTTTCTCAATGTATTTGCAAGAAGAATTATGTACAGTATAGATCTTTTACTTAAAGTACACTGTAAAATATTACCATGATTTCACAATATTTAGCTGTAATATTTTACAATAAATTACTGTTTTACCACTTTACAGTCTTTACCTGTAATGTTCACAATATAATACTGTAATTTTGAATTTCACAGTGAAATCAATGCAGGCACAGTTAATCACTGTGAATGTACAGGATAAATGATTACCAGGATTTCACAACATGTTACTGTATTATTTCACAGTACAATACTGTATTCAGACCATCCTCTGTGATAACACAACAAATTAAGTGATTTTCTTGCTTTTATCGCTCTTGCTTGGCTTTAAATACTAATTTATTTCTTTGGTGCAGGTTTTACTTAAATTGAAAGGGGCACCGCTGCATGTGCCTTAAAATAAATGATGCATCATATAAATCTATGTAAATTGAAATTCTTGTCTTGGCTTATTGCTTTCAGGTGCTTCCTGGGCATTAATCCTGAGACGGGCTCGTAAGCCAAAAAGAGGCAATTTAAACCCCCATGTCAGCACATTCTTCAGAAAATTGTTGACTTCGAGTGGATGTCTGTGTAGACATGTGCTCCCCTCCTTGTTTCCTTTTCTGTCTCCCTGCTGCGCAGGGGCACCTGGTCTGCCCCTGGCTCCGCCTCTGCCCAGGTGTTCCAAATTCCACTCAGCCGTGTATATATAAAGAGAAGCTGGAGGAGAAGGATGTCTCGCCTATCCTAACGCCGGGAGACACTCTCCTTAGAATACCTCTTTGCCATTTTGAGCTGTAGGCCATATTTTTGCAGATGTGTATATGTTTAGCCTGGAGAACCTGGTAGTCCAGTTTTCGCGGCTTTATTTTGTTTCCCATATGGTTTATATTTTATTTCTGGTTGGGGGGGGGGGGAACTCTGGGTCCTACGGCCCGTGGTGTGGCTGGCTCGGGTTCCCTCCTTCTGTTTGTTCCTTTTGGCCAGTCCTCCAGGCCTCTTTTTGTTTCCCGTTTCGCTTGTTGAAGCAAACAGCTGATTATCAATAAATGCTCGTTACCAAGTACCGGTTATTGTGTGTATTCTTTCATGTTGCGGGTCTCAGCACGAGCCACTACCGTGGAGTAGAGGTTGGGGCCGTAACAACATGTCCAAGACACTGTGAAATGTACTTTGCACTTCAATGGAGCAATAAAAAGTTAAAATGGGCATTTTCTTTGTTTTTCTTTGTTGATTGAGCTGATTGAATTGTGTAGTTATGGTAAAATCCCAGTTAACTAGTCAAATTTACAATATATTATCGTATTATTTACATTTTTATATTTACAGCAAATTACTGGCTACTGTGTTGCATTACTTCTACAGTAAAAATGTGACAATACAGGTAATTACTGTAATGTATGTACAGCAAGGTACCATAATACCACAGGTCTGTACTGCTATATGACAGTAATTCCATGGACATGGCAACTGTAAAGTCACAGTATTTAGTTGTACTTTTATTCTAATTTACTATAAAATATCTACAGTAAATTACTGTGAAATATTTACTGTCAATTACTGTGAAATATTTACAGTAAATTGTTGTGAAATCCATGCAAATAGTAGCCAGTAATTTACTGTAATTTTACAGCCAAACATTTTACAGTGTAAGAAAATCTACTTTCTACCCACTGATGATGTTTGTCTTTTCTGCTGAATGCCAATCTCTCAATCATTTTGGATTAATTAGTAAGTTTAGATTAGTTGTATTTGTTCTTGTTCGGGTCAAATACAAATTAGCTAATGTCCTGAGTTTGGTTGCGTGATTGCTATAACTTTCAGACTGCATCATTGGAGGAAAAAAACACATGTACAGTACTGCATACAGTAGGCTAACTATTAAATGGATATCTTGATACTGATGAGTAAATAAGTAAATAAATCCAGAGCAATCGGTGTAAAATGTACACAAATGTGTAGAATTTGGGCCGCTGGGAGCCTCTAATGATCTTTGCCTCTGCTGATGCGTCTGGTTTTTATGAGCCAGTATCAGTATACGATATGATAATACTTTAATGGTCAGATCAAGTAGGACATTTGACTCGCATCACATCAAATTTCCGACTTGATCTGACCATTAAAGTATATAAAGTTGTGAACCAACACATGTGGATGGCATCTGTTGTCTTCAGTTCAGATAAGAGGATAATAAGGCTAGTAAAACAGTCTCTTTTTTATTGGTTATTTACTACAAAAGTGTTCTCCTTTCTTTCCTGGGACCCTGACTGTTTCTAATTGGCTTGCTGCTGTTTCCTGACAACCAACTGAGACCATTTGTTGACTGAAATATCTGCGTAATTAGAGAGTATGCTTGTCTTCCATGTCTTGTGCTCTTTAGCTGACAAATACAATTACAAATCAGGGAGACACACTCGTGGGGATGGTTGCCTGAAGAGATTTCAGCATCAAAAGGAAACTCAAGCTGTTCATAAAAAGGCAATGATGTCAAAAATGTTTTGGCACCCTTGAGTCTACTTGAAATGATGAGACTGTGAAGACAATTGCACATGTTTTCTTCATCAAGTAAAGATTGTAACTGGGCGCTTGTAAACTGTGTTAATCTAATGGATAACAAGTAGCTCAGTGGTTGCAAATGAGCTGATGGTGAGCAAGTAAATACGATTCCTGAACATTTAATCAGAGTTTAGATGTGTATCTTCACAACATAATGATGCCTGACAGACATGAGTGAGGGGAGAAATGGCACACTTATACAAAAACACTGGCACAAATGAACGTGGGTCACACACTTAGACAACAATAAGAATTAGCAAACAAAAAGAGAGAACACATTGATCACTGAAATCTCAAGCAACCGATTGTGTTTAAGTGAATCCAAAAGGTGAGAACCACTGTGTCTTAAGAGGATTCCTGTGATTATTGAAGCAGCATGTGAGAGCAAAGTGCTGACAAAAGAAAGAAAGGGATTTTGATTGAACGCAAATGAGAGTAGATTTTATGCACGTTGATGAGGAGCTCTTGAATGAAGCCGTTTAAGCTTACGTCAGCAAATCATTGATGATGGATATTCTAATGAAAGAAGAAAGAACATTGCAACAGGGGTAACCAGCTGATTAGGTTAGTGTATCGCTTCAGTTTCTTTCCTTTTATTATGTAGATTGAAAGCTTTAACAGACATTTTCAGAATACGGTTTATTGCTAAGTACTTCTTGGAGCATCCTCTGTATTTACGATGTCGACTTTTACCTACCTTCTATCTCTTAAATGAATTGTTTTATTCATTTTTTATTTGTAATGTTTGTAAACAGTTATGAACAGCACTTTGAATTTACACTATATATGACATGTGCTACAGTATATTAAAAAAACTAACCATAAAGTAGGTTATTCATTTACAAGGCATTTTTGTTGGTGTTTGGTATATACATTAAACATATTAAGTGGAAATAAAATTACAGGCAAGGTACAATATAAGACTAGTACATGAATATATAATAGTAAAATATTATCTCTAATAATAACCTTAACACCAGATACATATTATCAATTTAAAATATATTATAAAGTTGCACAGTTTTATCGAAGGGAAAAAATAGTCATCATCCTCGAAATGAGACAAAAGTAAAACTGTATTGAACACAACAGGATGTAGGTTTCATGTGGATAAGCATATTTAAGCGGGTAATTATCATTCATTATTGATTCTCTTTGCTTGCTAATTCTTGTTTAGCTTTACTCCTGCCAGTCCGTCACAGTGTGAAAACAGATTGACAGACAATCCTCTCCACCTGCATGTCTTTAGACTGTGGGAACAAATCAGAGCAGCTGGAGGAAACCCAAGTGAACATGTGGAGAACTAGAAAATACCTGCTCACAGTTTTTAAACACAAAACATGAATCCACCTCTTGGCACTGAGGATTTAATGTGCAAGGATTTAGTTTAAGTGGCACACACCTTTTTAAAATATTATAAATAGACTACATATTTTGAGATTCATGACCAATTATGTGAGGCCTACTTGATTGTCAGCAGGAGGCACCGGGGAGACAGAAGGCTGAGAGTTTCCTGCAACATTCGCCCATACTCTGCCCGCCTGAATCAGCACAGTCAGCGGCCAGTTTGAAGATGACATGTCAGCTGTGCAATCTGGACAAATCATCGTCACTCAAAAGATGGTGAAGCCTAGCGATCATACTATCCATGTGGTAATCAAGATGGGACTAAGCATCTGTTAAATTCAGACCCTTTTCTCTATTCTTACTTTGACTTAGTTGTTATTTAGTTCATGCATTGTCAGGATGATAAGGTTCTATTAAATACAACCTGAATAATACACATGCAGTATTAACTGACTAAGGGAGACACTCTTACTCTCATACTTTCATATGTTGTCTACTTGCCAAGATTTTCCTGTCACACGTACACTAAAGAGTTACATGTTCGCATGGATTAAGCTGCAAGTTAAATCTTATTTGGCAGCTATACATGTAATGCTTTGAATAATAGTAGTTGGGGTGTGTTACTTGATTTGTATGCATTTTTATGTGGAATTATGATCCATACTAAATAATGCTTGGTCTTTGCCTAGTTACACCACTTTGGGAGTTGCTGATGCATTGAAAACAGAACTCAAAACGGTGTTTTATGAAAACTCAAGTCCTTGTATTTACTCCTGGTGTTCTTCGCCACTCTTTTGGAAGAAATAAATTAGCGGAATAACATATGATCTAGCTTTAAAAGTAACGTACATTTAGTTACTGATAAAAACATTTAAGATACTTTATTATTTTACATTGTAGAAATTGAATTCAGTGTGTTTCTACAGTGATTAATTAGGTCAATTATTGGGATGGCTGAATGCCCATATAGGATCTTTTTTCTGAGCACCAGCATTTCCCTTCAATTATTCCTAATGAGTTGAGAGATTACGCGGTCGCTCAGAGAAAAAACAAATGCACTCAGCAGCACCCCGTACACATAGCCTGGCGAAAATAACACCCTCCCCACTTATGTTACCATGGTTGATAAAAAACATGTTGTTAACAGGAGGCAGCATCCAATGTGTTATTCAAGACCCTCACATGTTAACAACCACACTATGGTATCAAAGCTGTTCTCCTCTACAGTATATATCACAGGGTCTTGATTGGTAAAGGGCATCTTAAGCAGATTGTATAACTTGTATTACATATGTTTCCCGTCATCAGTTAGACTGTAAATCTACTGTACTGTACCAGCTGTGTTGGAAGTCACTGCGCGGGAAAGCCCATCACACTTGGTCTCGCAGAGGAAATCGTCGATGGATGGGCTTAAAAGCGGACGGCTCTCTTGTTGCTCACTCACCAGCTGTAAGGGCAAACAGATAATACAGTTCAGGCTCTCACTCAGCATGGAAAGAGTCCCTGGTTTGTTAACATTAAGTGGCATAAAGTCCTTCTGGGCATGATACAGATTACACCATTGTCCCTATGCTGACACATCACAAGTCAATGTGACTGGGTTTCTTTTTAGGAAGTTAACACAAACTTGTTCCCCTTTCCAGCACATCCTTTTTTTACAGCATCTTGACATAGATACACTGGAGTGATTCAAGTGTGCAGATCCACTCAGATGTTTGATATGCCACTGCCTTTTTAACAGTTATGAAAGTGTGGGTTGTGATCATGTTGATGTGAAGAGCACAAAGACACTTGACATGTAACAGAGACCATATTAAATCATGTGTTGTGTATTTGAGTCATGGCCCCGTGGCTGCTCTTTGATTCCTAGCTATATGCTGGTAATGTTTGAACCCTGGCACATGGATGTTTAGCTGGCAGCATTAGTCTGAGATTAGTACTTTTGATGGAGGCTGATGTTGCCAAAATGTGCAGCTACAGCCAACTTTTAAAAGAGCTTTTCTGACAGACATCAAAACACAGCTGCTGTTTGGCCATTGCTCATAGAGAATCATCTTCATCACACAAACATATTGTTTTGTTTGCATGCACACACAACGAAAAGGTCAGCGAATTGCAGGAATTTGACAATATTGGCATTTTACATGTACTGTAATCACCTGGTTACTGTAAAATCTGTCTTTACATAGAGCTATGTGTTATGAGATATCTCCTTAACACCCATCGTATTTGTAAATTTGCATTTGAAATGTGTTAGTGATCAAGCCGTTGACTGCAAAGGGGTGTTTCTTTTTTTAGGTCATTTGGATTGATGGTGCACTGAGGGGATGAACTCTAGTGAAATAAATGTTTCGTATGTGTGCTTCTGCATGTTTTTCTTGAATTTTACTGTTACCAGTTTTATTTGCATTTTTGTTTAGCCGAGATAATGTTAACAGAACTACATTAATCAGTAGAAAGGTGTAACTCTTCCATCATAAGGGTGCAGATTTAGCCTTTCTGTTTCTTATGTAAAAAGCAGGCAGGAAAAAAAGAAGAAGCAATGCTTGGGTAAACATGCAACATGCAAGCATGGAAAACAACGTCAGTCTATACTCTGTTATTTACTTGACTAATTATAATACTCAAAATACATTATTGTCATTAGCCTCTGGTACTGTCCGTGCACTTACTGCCAAGCAGCATCCCTCAATCTCTGCTAATTGTCTTATTGTGCCTGCCATTACAAACACTTGGATTCAATCAATCAATAGTCCTGAATGGCAGGTCAATCCCACCCTATCTTTTAAAGGGGCTTTGCATTGTAAAGCATTATTTCAATCAGACTGATACTGATCGCACTTCCAGAAGATTTCTAAAAATAAGTCTCAGGTACAGAGTATTTACACAATGATTCTCTGATTCACATTTTGTTTAAGAAATCAGATTACTACAGGATCGTGTACAGGTACTGCATGTACTCTCACTTTATACATCTCATAGTCTCCAATGAAAGAACCACTGAGATGAGCTGGCCGAGAGAAACCTGCTGTGTCTCACCCAATTATGAGTTAACCATTATTGCTTAGCCCACCTTCCAAAACCATAAAATTGTTAATCACCTCGCCTGTGATTCACCAATTTGGAGGCTTGCCAGTGCAGCTGCAGAATAGGATACATCCATTTCATTATTGGTACCCTGAAGCGTCGGTACTCCAGGTGCAGCTGGCGACAATTTACAAACCCAGGCTTCATAATTTGGAGATGAAAACCAGTTTGTCCCATAGAAAGAGTAATCCACCACCACTGTAGTCAGACTGTTTGCCGTGTACAAAGTATAATGGAGGCAGCAAGGAAACATGACATCAGCTATTGTAGCTCTCAAAGCTGTGTTCGCAGGCAGAATTTTAATGAAGGTGCTGAAGGTTTAATTAGCAATCAGTGAATGGACTGCATGTGCGTAATATGGAAGCTGGAGGAAGTTTAGCATGAACGCACTTTACATGACCCTACAATAAAACATTTATGATTGTAGTTACTCCTTGGTGTTTGCTTCGTTGTTTCAGGTCTCAAAGACACAACTGCTATATTGGTAAATAATAATAATCGCATTATTGGTTTTAATATTTACACAACTATTGTATTAAGGCCTATACATTTTTTTGGGAAATTTGAACTACGCATGAACAAAAACTCAGTTGTTCCCCTCTATTTTGGCTACTCTCATTGAGATGGATAAAAATGATGAAATAATACTTATAACATTTAACTAAATCACTGTAATGAAGATTCAAAGCTCCACAAACCAAAGTCTCCAAATAGTCATAAAGGAACGACTCTCTAAAACACCAAAATGAAAGACGATAACTTCTTTAAAGGGGACCTATCATGCAAAATGCACTTTTGTACGTCTTTTATACATGAATGTGTGTCCCCGGTGTGTCAGGGAACTCACCAAGTGTCAGAAAACACATCCCTCTCTTTTCTTCCATACCCAAATCTCTAAAAACGGGGCTGCAACAGATCTGATACAGACTGATACAGATTTGAAGATTCTCTGACGTCAGGAACGAGGAGCTCCGCCTATATGGGCAACTCTCCACCTATCAGGAGGAGACAGCCACGGCCATTGCCGTTCGAAGGCGCTGGATACGCTGTAGTACATATGCCAGGCCTGTAGGTGGCGCTATAGTCTGCCACAAAAGCAGCGAAGAAGACTTCTCAGATTCAGCCCTTGCAAAAACAGGGCTAAAAAAGAGCAAATAGAGCGAAATGAGGCATGGCTAAAATGCATGATCTGTTTGGTATTTTGAAAAAAAAACTTCGCAGACATGTTTTATATAGGTATGGCCCTACAATATATTATTCAAATATAGCATGATAGGTCCACTTTAAGTTATGATTTATTTCAGGACTGTTGTATTAGACTACATTTGTTTTAGATATGCTTTACCTGGTGATGTTACTTGTGTCTTCATGAAATTAGAAAAAGTCATGAAGTATCGACATAGCTATTAAGACCAGTTCAGCCACAATAAAGATAAAATAAATCATATGAAGATATATTTGACTAACAGAAATGTTTCTAGTGTTGGCAGCTTATAATGATTACCAACAAAGAGAAGAGTAAAATGAAAACATGTAGAAGATGATGATACTGTGGTGTACTGTAGAGTCAATAGCACAGAAGAAAGAGCAGATACTTTCACAAAAGCCAGAAAACTTTTGAAACATTTCCATAAATAATATCCAGAGAGGGATTGTTACTGTGTTCTGGAGAGTTCGTGCTGCGCTGCAAGAATGCTGACCCAGCATAGGTAATTAGAGTTGGTGCTGTTCTGGTGTCAGAATAAAGCTTTGGAGGAAGCCTCACAGTGTGAAGTAACCTGATTTCACTGGCTGCTGCCAGCCCATGCATTTCCCCCCAATTTTGGACTGCAGCGACAAATCATAGGATGAGAATACACAGGTTTTAAAGGTCAAATCTGTCTGTGATTTATGGTCTGTGCTTGGAAAAGTGTAATTGAGTCTGAGTGGGTGTCTGAGCCACAGTTGACTCAGTTACACTTTTTTGTATTGTCCAAAAGACAGATGCTTTATTTAATCTTCACATTTTCATAAAGGCTGAATAACAACGCACTCAACCGTTAACCTTTATTGGAAATAACTTCTGCTACTTTAACTGGACTGTTTTTACCTGCAAAACTACCAGATTAAAACACTGCCTTTTACATGAGTCTCTATGATTAAAATTAACTAGGTAATAGGTTACTTAGGATATATTTTTGCTTCTAGATATGTCGATAATGCATCTACTTATCTATCAATTCAAATGAAAACTTACACGGGACTGAAAATCTTTTAATTGTCATAAAAAGCGACAGCATTGTATATATATTACGTTTACGATTTTTTGCCTTTTATTATTGTGTTTTAAGGATTCTGTATGAAAGGTATTTTTCAGTTTTTCCTGTACCCAACAAATCAAATGTAGCTCTATCCAAACAGCTTCTCAGCTGACTGGACTTTTAGCACAAGTGCCAGCTGAACTGAATAAAGGCTGAAGAAAACACAAATATCAGAGAAACATCTGTCAGTGAATAACAGAGTTGTTGTGATGCTTCTGCACTACACAGGGAGGGACTTTTGAAGCCTGTACAGTAGTCCAAAAAAACCCTATTAATAAATGACCTTGCATTTTTCTACTAAATTATTTTGAGCACAATTAATTTGTACACTGCCTGCAGGCTGAAGCCTTCCCTTAAGACGTACTGTTTTTGCTGTTGTGATGTTTGGTACTGATTGACTGAAGGTCAGCGCTGTCAACGGAGCAGAATACTAGAGATACATAGTACACAATACGCTTCAACTCATACTTTTGATTCAGAAATATTTTGGAGTAATTTGGGGAATATTGAGAGATGTTGACAGAACATTGGCCCTGCTGATTCATGTTTACTTCCTAAAGCAGTGTTGGCATATTTTCAGAAAATACAGCATGCTGCTTACAGTAGTTGTACAATGAGAACACTATTTCAGGATCTGTAGTACAGGAAGCTGCGGCTTCACCAACTGACTGATGCATTATACCGTTTTGGCACGCGTGTTGTAAAGGTTTTAGACAAGCTAGCGGCTCCTGAAAGACCTTCTGTTGGTCAATTCTCCTGGGTGAAATATCTCAACATCTATTGCAAGGTGTGCCAGTAATTGATGCCACATATCTGTAGTGCCTTAATGAGAATGAGATTGGAGTTTTTTAGGTAAATAATTCCACAATAATTGAATAGATGACATTTAGTTTAGTCATTTGTGTTTGAATGATATCAAAATAAAATACATATGAGATTTCCTTAATCCCTTATAACGGCCTCAGATTCACTTTGTGTTTAGTCCTAATTATAACTGAGATGGTGAACAAGGCAAACATAATGCATGTTAAACATTAGCCTTCTTGCATTGTCACTGTGAGCATGTTAGCATAATTAGCATTTAGGTCAACCTCCAGCTGTATCCAAGTGAAGACTCGAACAGCAAAGAGCCAGCTGTAGGATTTTATAGATTCACTGACAGACGATTGGTCAAAAGTCATTAAGCTTGTTTTAAGTTCCCAATTTTAAACAGATAGTCCTGCATATTGATCCATAACTGTAAGGCTGTATGGATTTGGCTGCGCAGTACAGTTGGCAGTCTATATGGAAGTAACTGTGCCTTATACACGATCACATGATCATTCTTCAGAGCACTTCCTGTGGTTGCCATGGGGGCCAATTTCAATGAATGGTCTTGAAACGATAAGACCTCTGCTTTTCTCTCTTCTAATCATCCAGAAATCGGGGACAGCAGATTCATCTATAGGGAGCTTGGCTTGCACTTTGGTAGCAGGTACCATGCAAACCCCAATTAAAGGTTGGAGAGCCACTTCCTGAGCTGTTGGCCCATTACTCTCACTACAAGGAGGTTACTGTTTTCCCCATTGGCTTTTTTCCCTCCTCTGCTCTCCTTCTGTTATACCTTTTGCCCCTCCCATATGCAAATCACTTTCGCACTTTGTTTGTTTTAAGTAGTAATGAAGACAATTATGCAATGGAAAACTTGAGCTAATTGTGCCGCTTGGGCTTGACTCCAAGGGATCTCTCAGATGTGTTTGTTAAGGGAAGTGTGTACCAGTAAAACTTGTCAGAGCTTTGAAGGCGGGGAGATCAAGGTGAGCACAGGAGGAGGTGAAGATCATGGAAAAAACTACATAAAGGGAAAGCTGTATTAAAATATCAAAGCAGAGGATGTACAATAGTTGTCCGAGAAAAAGCTTAAGGCTATGTTAGGGGAGGTCCTCGTGAGAAATAGTCAAAGCCAACAACTTTCAGTATATTTAGTTCACGTGTGGGATTTTTGTGATTATATCACAATTAACTCTTCAGAATCTGTATTATTTAGTTATCATTATGGCTTAAAAAGGACATGCAAGGTATTTATTGCCTCTACGGTGACATGTTTAATGCTTTTAAAGTGCTTAATTTTTCTAATTTCACCCTCTGTATGAAACCAGATCCCAGTCTGCTCTAATTGGTTAGCTCTGTGTTGTGGTTGGTCAACCACTTACAGATGTCCCACCCCTTAGCCTATCACAGCCAATGTCTTGGAGCGCTAGCCAATAGCTCAATGTTACATATTGATGTCACTATGTTACAGAAGTAAACAAAGGAGTCCAATGGAGGCAGGGGGGGGGGAGTGTGTGGGAGAGAAACTTCCTCTACATTTTAGCCTTTGCACACCATTAAGATGCACAAAAACCTATAAAACAACCCCCAAAAGCATAATAGGGTCACTTTAACAGGATTTGTCGATGGGCTGCAACATTTGAAATGAAATTGTGAAATAGTAAGATAGAATTTTTTTTACAACAAGCGTTGCATTATTCTGTATTATCTTTTATTCAGCTAACCCCATGAAAATACAAAACACAACATATCAATAGGCAGTCTCTTAATTCTTTCTAGTTTTCCTCCTCTGTCTGTGACGCTCTGATGAATTCCTCTTGGAGATGCAAATCACAAATATAGTATTTCTCATACAGCTAGGCACTGAGGCGTTTTGCAAACATTGTAGCAGAAAATAGTCCATTGGGGACTATTTTTAGCTGCAGATAAATACACATGTTGTTCTTTTGAAGGTATTAATGGCACCAAAATAATGTAAAATTGACTCAAAATAAACTACAGTGCTTTTTATAATGAAGTGAAGCAGGCAGTGTGGCTAATCTACATTTCTTTTTTTAGTTACAATCTTAGAGAGGCTTAGAGAAATCAGATACCAAGTTTTGGCTACACAATCAGTACTGGAAGAATCAATCCATTGTTAGTTTTGATCCTTTTCATTGGATTTGTTGACAGTAAAACAAATATCACCAGCTATATCCTTTAAGCAGCAAATGTTACACATTTTGCAAGAAGTAAGAACATCTTTAAGATCTCTCTAAAGTTTGGTTTGGCTTTGTACAAATTAATTCATAGTTTGCAGCACATCTACTATTTAGAAGTTGGGCTGAATTTACATACTGTTTGTTTTCCCAAACAGGGAATGGGAAGAGCTTGAACAATATAATGTACAACTTAAAATACTTGTCTCTGATGCTAGAGTTGTTGTTTTTGTTATAGATGTACGTGACTTCTGGTTTCATGCTGCTTCTTTGAAGTTTCCCCCATCTCCTGGCGCTGTGAAGCCCAATGAGACATCTTACTGTATGTGAAATTGGTCTTTACGAATACACTTGACATGACATGTGGTGTGAGGACCCGCAGCCTGTCACTTGGCCTCTGTCACTTGCTTAGTAACATCAGGCTGGGACACGATGCCTCTCTAACGGCATCCTCAGCCACTGGATAGCATGCCTGCAATCATGAGTTGTGTTTGGCCACGAGGAAACAACGCCAAGTGATCAGCTCCAAACTGCAGTTATTTCTATTCAGTGTTTATTTTCCTAAAAAGGTGGTTTAAGCAAAGTGATATGCAACACAATTAAGTGAAAGGTGATGTTATGGAATTTGAAATCCAGTGGGATTGAAATAATTTTGTTGACATAGGAAATAAAACCTAATCTGTTTTATTCCTGGTGTTTGCTTTACTCGATTCAGCCATGAATTATTTAGCAACTGATTTTAGCAAAACAATGATGACTGGGAACAGATTCTCACCTCAGTGTGTGCGCTTCTATCTGCGAGAGTTATAGTGCTTACTGCATCAGCTCTGAACAGTGATCATTGTTAAGATTTAGGTTTTTGGAGGCTTTTTGTTGTTGTGTGGTTTTGCACGGCAGTTCTGAGAAGCCACTTCACTTGACAGCGAGGTACTTTAATGTGTCTGCAAGCAGGCGCCCAAGCTGTCATGTTTTCAGATATGTTGAAGGATGACGAGCTTTTCTACAGCCTCTTTGTCTTATTTAACTTCCTTGAATAAAAACAGATGTGCCTGTTTTTCTCTCAACATTTTGTATTTATAGAGAATGTTTTTGAATGGGCTGCTCTGTTAATAGCAAAGATAGGTGTGCACATTAAAAACTCATTGATTTAAAAATATGTTTAATATATGTCATTGGAAGGGCCGAGCAGTGGACACAAAATCCATGTGATAAATTATCATATTTATCCTGATAATGACAAATGAAACAATGATTATTTTGTATTATTAGTGTGTATAGTTCCTTTATGTGTTTGCTCACTTCTGAAAATGTTTTTCTTGTTATTAATGGACTGTTGGTGTGTTGGTTGGTTGGTTGTGGTTAAATGTCATTGCCCATTGGATATGATGTCACTTTATAGTTATAAATAACTATTATGATAGGTATGAACAGATGGCCGCTGGTATGAGATCTATAATGTTAAAAATGTGATGAATTGTATTTGTGTCATTGTAATTTATATATTAAAATTGCATCATAAAACAATGTGACATTTTTGCTGGCATTATTATTTCAGTTGAGTCTGTCAGAGAAAGTCTTTGTGGAGCAGGTCCTTCGTTTCGTTCAGTTTGTCATTGGGATCTCAGAAGCAAGAAGGATTGATTTTGCAGGTGGTAAAATATTAACAGTATCATCAAACCTATTGTCACCATTATATTGTCTTAAAGAATGATGATGTATTGCGTCTGTTCAGGACACAGCAGATAAGTTGTTGCAGAGGGAAGTCGTTCTTCACATATGTTTTCCTGTCATTTTATACAGTTATTTAACCATGACAAATCACGATTTACACATTTAACCTAATAATGTTAGTGTGAATTCAGCAGCTTCCATTGCTGAGACATAAATATATCACCTCTCGTTGAATGAAAGCATTTCATGACAGCTTATCAAAAACAGACACTGATTTAGAAAATCAAACATGTATGAAGCATGCCACAAGTTATTAGAAAAACACTGACAGCTATACAAGAGACAGAAGCACGCAGTGTACAAAAAGCAATCAAGCACAGATCAAGAAAACTCATATTGGCATCTGGAACACCGGCTCTATCCAGCAACAACACTTAACAAGCAAAAGAGAAGTGAAAGCTCAGCAGCGGGTTCGTTGGCTGCAGTATTTTGTACACAGAGCGCTCAGTCAATAGCTCAATGCATTGCCATGTGGCATAGGATTTTGGAAATGCATTCATACTTTGTGCAAAGGATTAGCTGCTTATGAGGTGTAAAAAGTTCATGCGGGAGTTTATGCCATCCTGATTTGGAATGAGAGGACATTTGTGTGACCCTCAAACTGAATGCATAAATGTTAACTAGAAGAGCACTATAAATCTTTCTGAGGCTAATTTGAAAAGATAAAAAGTAATGTGAATAAGTGCATCAATTTGAGGCTGCTCCAATAGATGATAAGATCCTTATTCAATGTTTGTGTAGATGTGGAGATGTAGTAGGATAGTTTTATACCCCATAGAGCAGCTGGAAATGAATTATTGGTTGCTTCTTTGTTAGATGTAACAGTCACAAAGCTAATAAAGTAATGAGTTAGTAGACAGTGGAGGTCAGGTATAGGACACTGAAAGCTTTGCTATTGTTAAGTATAAGCAACACAGGAGGACGTTCCACTTGAAGGCAGGGGGGGAGGCGGGCGGGGGGTGTTTCTGAAATGGTTCTGCCCACCTTGGTAGTCACTGTGAGGAGGGGCTTCCCTTCTGATGACGCCTTACTTGGTATCTCCTTCAGGACCATGGCAACAGTCTTATCTGCAGCCCTAGAGTCTTTCCCCTACAACAGTGAAATCAACAATGACTTGTGTCAGGACAGTTGGACAACTTTTTTTGCCCCCGACTAGGGCAACTTACAGAAAATACTTTAATTTATGATGATGGAAATACCGTGTGGGGCTGTCAAAGGTAACAACATATCGACTGAAGACATTTCCACAAGACTATGGCAATGAAAAGAGGGTCACTGCACAATGTAAAGGGTTGACTATAGACAGTGATGAGCATGGTCGTCCACAGCAGTACTTATCAAGCACTTATGATGACAGATATCATACAGAGCTCATTACACAGACCATGTTGTTCACTAAGAGTTATGTATGTGTTTGACAGATGAATGTGTCCATGTTTACTGGGCCGCTGACAGTTGTGATGTATCTTTGTGCGGTTTAAAGCTATAGTTGGAATCAAAACGTAATATTATCATTACTGGAAGGTTAAAAGTGATGCCGTTTGCAAGCTTGGGATGTTTAAAGATGTCTATGCCAAAGTTCTGAAAACATGAGGGTACAGTTTTCCCTTAGTATAGCATCATGTGATCCCTGAGTGGTTTAACATATGTGCTTGGGTTGCAGTCAACTCACTGGCTGGTGGCTGTTCTCTTCAAACTACTCAAACAAGTATTTTGAGTGGAAATCGTCATCTCTGTTATTATTTTGTTTTCAAATATACTCTGTTATAATATGATAATGATATATAATACATTAACATGGCCATAAAACTTATATTTCTGCTCTTTTACATGTCCATATTGGCCCGCAATCTTATGTTGTTTTTCTGTCCTTCCTTCTCTTTGCACTTTTTTTCAAGTCTGCTGCTATAGTGCACAGGTTTGTCCTATTATTGATAGTGTAAGGTATCTAGAGTTGTATGTTGCTTTTACTATTAACTTGCTATCCAACACACACACACACACACACACACACACACACACACACACACACACACACACACACACACACACACACACACACACACACACACACACACACACACACACACACAAATGTGAAGAGCTCCAATAATTGCTAAGGCAGACATGACATTACGGTAGAAAGTGATTACATAAGAGGTCGTATTGGTTTTGCCTCTTGTCATCCCTTTCACCTCGACTTTATGGCAGACACCACAGGCCCCAGACATTCATTCACTTCACATTTTACCCATAGCCAGCAGTAGATGATATGGTATGCTATTCATCATTTTTGTGACGCACAGATGTAGGGGAACTATAGTCGTCACAGGAGACCACACATTTTATCTCTGAAGAAATATACTCATCCTCTTGCAATAAAATGTGCTGACCAGAGAGAGATAACTTCTGTTCACAACACTCAGTGTTTTTATAGACTAAGGGAAGCTGCCTTTCAGACACATGGAGAGAACTGGAAGCCTTTTAGCTCGATCATATTAGGGCTTTTCATATTCCTTCTTGCCAAATTAAATTCTTTGACTGATTTCCTCAGCTGATCATTTCACAAAATGCATTTGCCTAGAGGGAGTGTTCCCTTTAAAGCCTATCATTCTTCTAATAAAGTCCAAAAAGCCACCTGCGCCCACTTTCTGGGTTAGTGTCACTCAGTTTAAATGAACGACATCCATTGCCAAGCAACACCAGTAGCAATCTCCACACAGCAGGAGATGATTTAGAAAAGCTGATAGACATTTGTGTTTTAATGGCAAATGATGCATGTGAAAAGCACCAAATCTCCCTTCAGTGCAGTATGGGCAGGTGTTGTGTGAGAAAACAGTGTTGAGGATATCTTGTACGGATCCAGTTTGTATTATCTTACAGTTTTGTCTTGCTTTCAGTTTTGTTTTGTGTCAACTAGACTTTTTTTTAGTGATTCGAGGTACGCAGCAACTGCAGTAACACACTTTGTTGCCCTAACCAACACAGCTCTTTTAAACTTAGAAAATATTGTAATGTTTTTTGTCAAGTGTGCAAGCTGCTAAGAAATAAATATAATATTATATTATATTATTATATATAATAATATTCATTGTTTTGTGGAAGATATTTGCTGAACAAAACAACTAACACATTTTCATTAAGTCGTTTTCTTCCCTAATACAGCAGCATCTGATTAAAGGTTTGATGACCACTGGGCTGTTCTGGAAGATATAATATTAAAAATAATAATCCACAACAGATGACATTGACTGCACCAATATGCAAACAGTTTGATCAAATCTCAGTTGGCAGAGGACATAAATGTAGCTGTTTATCTCAAGACTCTCACAATTATTATACAATCTCCCCGGCACCACAGTCTGTTCATCACTTTAAACAAATGTATTTACTGGAAGTAATGCAGGCATTCTCATAGGGTAGGATTGAAAAGCTTTATAAATTTCATAAGAATCGTTGTCTATGATTCTGGAGAGAGTTTATTCCATAAGCAATTTATTTGCTTATATTCTGGGAATTGGTCTTTTCAAAGTCATATAACAGTCACACAGAGCTGATGGTGGCTGTGTTTTGTCAATGAAGTGGTCTGTTTTTAAAATGCATGATAACTGTATTATTCCCACTGGGAGTAAATCTCTTTTCAGACATTGAGTATAAAAAATGCCTGGCTCTATCTATCAGTCTGCTTTCTGTGATTCAGACATGCAGCAGGTGTCACGTCTGACAGCTCAGAACTCTGCTCATTACCTGGTTTCACAAACAGTCTGCTATCCACTTTCCATCAAAGACTACCTGCATTAATCCCTGTTTTTCCAATGTGGGACAGTTTGAGACCAGATCTGAGGAGCTGTGATATCCCCATGAGGCAATTTACACAGAAAGTACTTTCTATGAATAGCAGGTTTATGTGTAAGCTTGTATTGCATTAAGCTATGGCACTTGCACTTACATTTGTTTCCCATATTTGTACTTGTCTGCCCATTTACATTGAAAATTGACTGAAACCGTCAACAATATTAGAACATTGAATGGTGTAAAATTGCAGGGTAATGCTTCCCAAACAATAGAGGCCTTGTGGCTCTGACTAATAATGATTAAAAACAAATGTTTGAATGCAGATGCCTATATTGTACCATTCACAAGACGGTAATACAATAATTCATATTTAATTTCATGTGTCATTGCTTATACACAAGGAAATTAAGTTATTTCCCTAACCTCTTTAGAGATGAAATACTGAAAATGTTAATGCAGAGATATATATATATATACTTTTTTTTAAAGGCAGTGAATTCATACATTCAGGAGGTAACCGGGTTAACGTTCCGTTGCACATTGAAGGCTCGGGAGGCGTGTGGTGCAGTGGATAGAGCCTTGGTGTTGGGATCAGGGGGTCACAGGTTCAAACCCCACTGCAGTCAGCATGTCAATAGAGGCTTCTCAATACTCAAATTTCCCCTCCTCGGTTCCCCTCCTCGAGACTTAGACCCGCCCACAGGAGATGCGAGCGGAGGACCGAGGAGGGGAAGCAGCAGACGTTTAAAGAAATGAGAACTCCTCTCCTCTGAGCGGTCATATTAAAGCGACGTCCGTTCATTATTACGTGGCAACAGCTGCATCAGCTGTCGAGTGTTTTGTCATAGCGCTGTATTTTATAATCTCTGTTAGATCAGCTGAACATTGTTCCCCCACATATTTACTTTGAATTCATTGAGTGTGCGGTATCATGAGACAATAACAGGCTACAGATGCGGACACACACACAAATATATTTATATAAATATATACAATTTAAAGTATGAGAGCACTCTCATAATAACGTAACACAATCAGAGACTGGATATATCCCCCCTCTCTCTGGTCGCTGAAATGGGGAATTGAAATTACGGGCCAAAAGTTGTATTAACTTGTAATAATAATAAGCCACTTACAATTTTCCGTGAGATCAGGGAGCAGATATAAGATGGAAGTTTCCCTAACATACAAAGCCATATTAGGGAAACTTCCATCTTATATCTGCTCCCTGATCTCACGGAAAATTGTAAGTGGCTACTGCCTGAGATCGCATGCTGTGGTTTTATTAAATGTGCCAACTGCTAGGACTGTCTTAGGGAAGACAGCTTTTAGATGCACAGCTCCTCTGTCTTGGAATAGTCTGCAAATTAAATGGAAACTGAACAATCTGGTGCCACTAAATGTTTTTAAAGCTCGGTTGGATGCTAGTCAATCGGAAGCTATTGGTACCTGTTTATGTGGATAATTATGTAAATGATGCTGTATGATGTCCTTTTGTTGTTCTATTTATGTTTTTATGTTTCATGTGGAACTACTTGAGCAGGTCTGCCTTGAAAAAGAAATCAATGATCTCAATGGGATTTATCTGTATAAATAAAGGTTTGAAATTAAATTAAATTAAAAGTAAGCAGAGGACACCAAACCAACTGAGACCCGTCTGTCCGCCGCATCTACGCACTGTACAACACACACCTACATACTGTACCACACACACACATACACACTGCCTACAACACACACTTACAGCTCCTAAAGCATAATCAGGCTACAGCCGTTGTGTATTTTATTATGTGACGCACTAAATGGTCTTAGAAAAATATCGACTCTTTGTACTACAGCAAATAAAGAGAGTAATGTAGGCCTGTTATACTGAGTGATATTGTACACTGCTCTGCTTTCTGCACAGACCCCACAGCTGTTCTCACTGTAAACATCGCAACGCGATGAAAGCAGTTTCTAAAATAATATCCAGAGGATGCATGCAGAGCTGTCATTGGCTGAGATAAGTCCGGTCGTGCGTCACGCCTCCACCGTTCCCGGAAATGCATCCGCGGAGGAGCCGTGGAGGAACCATCAGTGTATCCTCGGTTATAGCTCCTCCAGAGAGCCTCCTCGACGCTCGATGCTCGGTCCTCGGTGTGCATTTAGAGAAATGAGACGTCCTTCAAAATGGCGCGCTGAAATTCATTTCCGGGTCACTACCGGAGGACCGAGGACCGAGGAGTCGAGGAGGGGAAATTTGAGTATTGAGAAGCCTCTAATGTGTCCCTGGGCAAGACACTTCACCCCAAATT